GGTGTTTTTATTTTTCAACACCCGGTACCCGGAAGTCCCGACCCTTCAGGGCTCGTTTCGACTCCTTCGTTTCGAGTCGGTTCGATTTCGATGGTTTTCGATTCCGATTTGATATGATTCTTGATGTCGATGCGGATTCCGATTTCTCAATGGATGCCTACTAGCTTGCCGATTTTCGCCGACTCGACTCCTCCCGACTCGGTTGCCGATTTCCGCCGATCCCATTGATTTCGATCGTCGATCCGACTTATCGATTCGATTCTAGGCTTTTTTGCCTTTTCCCCGGAACCAGTTGTTCATTCTGAGCCATTTCTCGATAGTCCCGGGGCTCAAAATCACCCAGAGGCCGAAAACGACGAAAGTTTTCCCGTGTTGTTTTTTTTTCAGGACGCGATCATGTCTGGGATGTTCCCCCCTGACGTGCCCCCATCGCTCCCAGGATGCTCGGCAACCTTCGTCTGGTCGGCGCATTGCTCGAGAAGGCCCGCGGCGCCCCCTGCGGGGGGGCGACCTCTCGGCTACCGCGCAGACGCCAACCCCCACCACCGTCACCCTCACCTCCTCCTCCTCATCATCATCGACCCTCCTTGGGAGAGCGTCATCATCATCATCATCATCATCATCATCATCATCATCATCATCATCATCAGTATCATCATCATGATCAGCATCATCCGGATCAGCATCATCATCATCATCATCATTGTCATTATCGTCATCATCATCGTCATTACCATCCTCAGAAGCACCATCATAGATATCCTCATTATTGTTGGCGTCATCATCATTATCATCATCAGCATCCCTGCCAGCATCATCATCTTTATCTTTACAATGTCCATCACCGTCATCATACGCATCTCCAAAACCATCACCACCATCATCAGCATCATCACCACCATCACCATCATCATCGTCAGTATCATCAGCATCATCACCATCACCAACACTATCACAGTTATCACCAGCATCAACATCACAACCACAACCATCATCATGTATACCCGGCGGGGATCATCGGTTAAACTATGTACGACACAGTGAAGATTAGCATGCCCCACCCCGTTGTACGGACAGCACGCGCAAATAACGACATGTGTACACACTATCATCCTCATCATCAGCAGCAGCATCTCGATCGTCATCATCATCAGCCGCATGATCATTATCATCATCATCCTGATCATGATGACAGGGAACATGAGCACGAGTATTACGCATGGACGACACGCACATATCGAGGAGCGTGCATACCTAATCAACATCATCGTCAGCAACATCATCTGTATCATCATCATCAGCATCATCACCATCATCGGTACAAGCTGCAGCATCATCATATCGCGGGGCCCGCGCTGACGGGTCTCATGGAGGGAGCTAGCACGTACGGTGGAACATGCAGCGGTTTGCTGGTTGGTAGTGAGAGATTTGCTTCAGTGGCAGTTCAGGGATGTGTTTCAGTTGCTCAAGTTGCCCGCGTCACTGGCGCCGACATGATCTCGGCTAGTTCGGCTAGCGAAGGTTGTTCTTCCGTTTCTCTGGTGCATGCCCAGAGCATGCCACCGCCGAGCAAGTTTCGGCGCAAGTGTTAAGCCTTCATGCTTTCCTGTCCTCGGCCGAGTCTGGTCGAGCCTTATGGCTTGCCCCATACGGGGGCTGCGCACGTTCCTTGCGCGCTGGCTGGGCCTGCGCCCCACTAGGGAATGGCGCATGTCTGCCGCACACGTAAGTGGGGTAACCCACTGCGCAGAGGCGCTCCGTTTCGCTGGCCCTTCCTCACAGGCCTCCATGATATAGACTGCAACTCATGTAACTATCATCCTCCTCCTCCTCATCATCATCATCATCACTATCATCATCAGCATCATCATCAATATCATCGTCATCAACATCACCACCACCATCATCATCATCATCATCATCACTGACGGCACCATCATCATCACCATGATCATCGCACTAGTTCCCTCGATCCCCATCATTATCATCAGCATCACCATCATCATCATCCTCATCATCATTATCATAAGCATCGTCGTCATCATAAGCATCACCAACCTTGCCAACAACAGCATCATCACCATCATCATCACCATAACTATCACCATCATCATCATCATCATCATCACCAGCATCGGCATCATCATTCGCATCAGCATCACCATCGCCATCGCAATCGCCCTATCCATAGTCATAGCCATAGCCATAGCCATAGTCATAGTAATAGTTAGCATCATCGTCACCACCATCATCATGCCTCCTCCTCCTCTCCCTACGCTCTCTCTCCTCACAGTCGTGCGCTCCCCACCCGCGGAGCGGGTATGCGCGCGCGAGGGAGGAAGGCAGGGGAGGGAGGGAAACGAGGGAAGCGAGGGAGCAGCAGAGGGAGGATAATCAGAGGGAGGGAAAGCAGAGGGAGGGGAAGCAGAGGGAGAGGAGGAGCAGAGGGGGGAAGGGAAGGGAAGGCGGAGCAGAGGGAGGAGCAGATAGAGGGAGGAGCAAAAGTGGGGAAGCGGGATGGAAGAGCAGAGGGAGGGGAGGGAGGGAAGGGAGGGAGGAGCAGAGAGAGGGAGGGGATTCGAAGAGGATGAGGAGGACCGTGGGATGAGGAGGAGGAGGAGGAGGAGGAGGAGGTCCTTGACGACCTGATCCCAGATCGCAGCCCGTGCAACGCCCAAAAAAAAAGGAGGAGGACCCCTCTTCTCTCCTCTCGCCCCTCCCCCCCCTTCCCGCCACAGGGCATGCTGGCCAGCAAGGTGCTGGTGGCTGTGACGGACGAGCTCCTCACGGCCGCCCCCAGCCACCGCCCCGCCCACCCGCCTCTTGCCCCGAGTGGATGGGCGACAGGGGCACTGCACATGTCTACACGCCGGTCGTGAAAAGCTTGTACTCCAAATCCTTCATTAGTAATCGACCCCCCCCTAAAAAACCGAACTCCCACCAAACGCGACCTAATATTCTGGACCCCGACAGGGCGCCTTAATAAACCAGACCCCCTAAGCTCCAATCCAAAGAAAGCGCCCTAATAAACGGGACCCCCCCCAGTTTCAAAAACGGCGCCTTAAAAAACCGGACCCGGGGGACGATTAATAAGGGATTTGGAGTACATTCGGGAGCCCCAGCCAGAGCGCCCGGTCTTGCAGGATCTTGCAGGGCCAGGGTCGCATTGACCTGGGTTTGGGTCTTGCAGGATCCTTTCGCATTCACCCGGGCTTGGGTGCAGGATCTTGCAGGATTCTGCAAGGCCTGGCTGACCCGAGTTTGGATTGACCCGGGTCAGAAGATCCCCGATACATGTTGGTCGTTGAGAGTTGGTATGTTAGGACTCCCAGCTCCCAATAACCTTCAGGCACCTTCCAACTTCAATCCTCGAGCGCTCGTCCCTCTGGCCTCCTCTTCAGGGGGCGGCCGGGAGCCCAATCCACGCCTTCAACTCCACGGTTCTTCCCGCTTCTTCGACCGACGGGCAGGCCTCCCAATTCGGGTGCGAGTAGATGGCGCCGGAGGATCGCGCCGCATCGCTGTAGCGCCGGCGATGCGGCTCGATGTGGAGACCGATTTTCTCCACGCCGACGGCGCCGATACGTCGCCGACGTCGGCGATGCCTGACCGATGCATTGGCGATGCGGCGCCTTCTTCCGACCCCACGTATTCCGACCTCATCTAGGAGGCTTCCAACATGCGAAAAAGACCACACTGAGTCACTGAGCTCAGGAAGGGGCCTGGGGCGCCTGGGGCCCCTGCGCGACGGGGCCCGGAGGGCACTCCCGCGTGTCGGAAACAGACGAAAATAGTTCTGCAATGTGTTTCTCTCGGGCGCTCCTTCGGCACAGTGAATTTCCCCCTAGAGCCTCGTGCCCAACTGTGCGAGTCCAGACGTCTCGCTGAGGAGAAGACCAAAAAGGACAGGAAGGGTTACATCAGGAGGGAAAGAAACACACAGACACAATTAATCTCCGATGTCCAAGAACATATGGGAAACTATGGGAAGTGTGGGGGGGAGACAAAAACCCAGAAAGTATAGGAAAATATGGGGGATCCTGTTATTTACGTGTCTTTGGGCCCCTTGATTACGGCCGCGGCGCAGGGCTTTCCTGGGTTATGCGGCCTGCCGCGGGGCGCCGCCCCCGGGGCCACGGAGCGCCTCCTCGCGCCCGGGAGGGCGAGGCGAGAAGAGCCGGCCGGGCAGAGGAGGGCCGGGCAGGGGAGGGGAGGGCAGGGGAGGGGAGGGCAGGGGGGGAAGGGCAGAGGCGGAGGAGGAGGAGGAGGAGGAGGAGGAGGAGGAGGCGGAGGCGGAGGAGGAGGAGGAGGAGGAGGAGGAGGAGGAGGAGATGAGGAGGGGGAGGGGGAGGGGGAGGGGAGGAGGAGGAGAAGGAGGAGGAGCAGCGGAGGAGGAGGAGGAGGAGGAGGATGGAGGGAGGAGGGAGGGGCGGAGGCGGAGGAAGGGAGGAGGAGGACGAGTTGGAGGGGGGGAGGAGAAGGAGGAGGAGGAGGCGGAGGGGGAGGAGGAGGCGGAGGCGGAGGAGGAGGAGGAGGAGGAGGAGGAGGATTTCCAGGGGCCTCTGGAGGCTGGCGACACCCAGAGGCCTGGACCGTCTGCGTCTCTGTCTATTTAGCTATAGCTATAGCTAGACCTGTATATTTTCGAGTACATATGCATCGGTCGTTCATTATTATACATACATACATCTATATGTATAACTACACGTATGTATGTATGCATGTATGTATATATACATGTAGCGATCGGCAGGTATCGGTGCGTATATACACATATATGTATGATTCGTGTCACACACATGTTTAGATGCATACCGATATATTGATATAAGTATATGTGTAGTCATAAATGTATTCATACACATATATATATATATACTTATATCTATATGTCTAGTCCTAGCGTTTACCTCTGTAGTTTAGCACGCTCGAGAGTTTGTTCTCGGGCACCGGGAGCGCGGGATCTCGCAGGATCCTGCAGGGCCAGGGGTCCATTGACACGGGCTAGCGCGCAGGATCTTGCAGGATCTTGCAGGATCCTGACTGACCCGGGTTTGCATTGACAGTGCGTCTCCGAATCTGGGGCGAGAAAGGAGCGACGCAGACCAACGGGGTCGTCTGCGCCGACATTGGCGCGTAGGCTGCCCCGGTATGGTCGCGCGTGAGCGCCTTCCTCTCAAGTGTAGCGTGCCGCGCTGGCGGCCCGCGTTGGCCGCGGCGCGGCGTAAGGTCGCTAACGTAAGTCTTCTCGCGCAAGGCCCGTTTCTGATCGTCGCGCATCTGGAGTTCAGTCGGGCAGGTCTCTCTGCGGGAGGAATATCCAAACATAGTAGAACAATAGCCTGGACCGATTTGTTGAGCATGGTTTGATCATACGCGTATATATATATATATATATATATATATATATATGGTCGCCCCCCCCCTGTGATCATACATTTCGTCGTCGTCGTCGTCGTCCTCTTCCTCCTCCTCCTCCTCTTCCTCCTCCTCCTCCTCCTTCTCCTCATCTCGGGGGAGGGGAGTAGGGGGGGAGGAGTAAGCGGAGGAGACGGAGGAGGGTGTCCGCGGGGGCCGAACTGGAGACCGAAAAACAGGAAAAACAAATAAAATAGGAAAACAACTGTGTTTTCACAGGGACAAGCAAGAAAAAAACAACTCCCCCTTCGAGGGCGGGGAGGAGGAAACAAAGGGGGGGAAAACAAGGAGGAAGCGGAGGAGTAAGCGGAGGAGACGGAGGAGGGTGTTGTTTCCCTTTTTCCGATTTTCCCGCCCTCGGAGGAGGAGTTTTTCCTTTTTTTCAATGTGAAAACACATTTTTTTCAGATTTTCAATTTTTGTTGCTGTTTTTCGCTCCCCCCCCTGGGGCGGCGGGGAAACCTTGAGGGGCCGAACGGGAGACAGAAAAAGAGTGACAAAAAGGAAACATAGGGAACAACCCGTGTTTTCACATGGCAAAATAGGAAAAATCCCCTTTTCGAGGGCGGGGAGGAGGAAACAAATAAAAAAGAAGAACAACAGAGGAAGCGGAGGAGTAAGCGGAGGAGACGGAGGAGGGTGTTTTTTTCCTTTTTTCCCCTCTCCCCGCCCTCGGAGGAGGAGTTTTTCCCTTTTTTCCATGTGAAAACACATGTGCCTTCCTATCGTTTCTTTTTTCTGTGTTTCGGGCCCTGGGGCGGCGGGGAAACCCTGCGGGACCGAACGGGAGAGCGAACAACAGAAAACAAAGGACACCTATGCACAAACTTGTGTTTTCACATGGACAAAAAGGAAACAACTCCGCCTCCGAGGGCGGGGAGGAGGAACAAAAAAACAAAACACCCTCCTCCGTCTCCTCCGCCTAGTCGACTCCTTGACTCAACGTTCCCGCCCGTTTTCTGCCGAATTCCGTTCCTCTTTCTCTCGTTATCTCTCCTCTCTTCTCCTGCCCCTCTCTCTCTCTCTTGACTCTCTCTCTCTCTCTATATATATCCTCCTCCCTCTCTTGACTCTCTCTCTCTCTCTCTCCTCCTCTCCTCTCCCTTCCTCTCTCTCTCCTCCTCCCTCTGTCTCTCTCCTCCATCTCTTGACACTCTCTCTCTCTCTCTCTCTCTCTCTCTCCTCCTCCTCCTCTCCTCTCCTTCCATTATATGTACCCCGCCCCGCCACAAAAGGAATCGATCTGTAAATCCGCTTTCCCCCGTGTCCACCTCCGCCTCCTACTCTTCCTCCTCCTCCTCATCATCTTTCTCCTCCTACTCCACACAAGGAATCCATGTGGAGGCCCCTCCACATAAGGGACCGATATGTGAAGGGCCTCCCACATAAGGAATCAATGTGTACAGGCTCCTTCACATAAGGAACTCATCTATGAAGGCCCCTCCCACATAAGGATTCAACATGTTGGAGGCCCCTCCACACAAGATATCAGTATGGAGACCCCTTGCACATAAGGAATCAATATGCGGCGGTCCCTCCACAGACAAACTCAATATGTGGAGGCCCCTCCACATAACGAGTCTATATTCGAAGGCCCATCCACATACGAAATCCATGTGGAGACCCTTTTGACCTAAGAAATGAATATGTGGAAGTCCTTCCACAGACGAAATCAACATGTGGAGGTCCCTTCCACATAAGGAGTCAATCTGTGGAGGAATCCCCCCCCACAAGAGGAATCAATATGCGCGAGGCCCCTTGCACATAAGGAACAAATATGGGGGAGGCCCCTCCACAAAAGGAAACACTATCATCTTTCTCCTCCTCATCTTTCTTCTCCTACTTCTTCTGCTCCTTCTTATCCTCAACCCCTGCGCCAGAGCGGGAGAAGGAGGGGGAGGAGCAGGAGGAGGAGGAGGAAAAGGAAATCGCCCGCCGCAAAAGAACTCAATTGGTGGAGGTCTCTCCACAGACGGAATCAACATGTGGAGGCCCCTCAACTTAAGGAATCGATAATTTGAAGGCCATCCACATAAGGAATCAATATGTGCAGACCCTTTCCAACATAAGGAATCAACAAGTGGGAGGACCCTCCACAAAAGAAATCAATATGGAGACCCCTTGCACATAGGGAATCAATATGTGGAGGTCCCTCCACAGACGGAATCAACATGTGGAGGTCCCTTCCACATAAGGAATGAATATGTGGAGGATCCCCCCACAAAAGGAAACAATATCATCTTTCTCCTCATCTTTCTCCTCCTACTCCTTCTGATCCTTCTTCTCCTCAACCCCTGCGCCGGAGTGAGAGAAGGAGGGGGAGGAGGAGCAGAAGGAGGAGGAGGAAAAGGAGATCGCCCGCCACATAACGAATCAATATGTGGAGGTCCCTCCACAGACGGAATCAATTTGTGGAGGCCCCTCCACATAAGGAATCGACATGAAAAGGCCCATCCACATAAGGAATCCATATGTGCAGGCCCTTTCACATAAGGAATCATTATGTGAAGGACCCTTCCACATAAGGAATGAACAAGTTGGAGGCCCCTCCACATAAGAAATCAATATGGAGATCCTTGCTCATCAGGAATCAACATGTGGAGGTCCCTCCACAGACGGAATCAACATGTGGAGATCCCTTCCACATAAGGAAACAATATGTGGAGGATCTCCCACAAGAGGAATCAGGCCCTTTCCACATAAGGATTCAACGAGTGGGAGGCCCCTCCACACAAGATATCATTATGGAAGCCTCTTGCACATATGGAATCATTATGTGGAGGTCCCTCCACAAATGGAATCAATATGTGGAGGCCCCTACACATAAGGAATCGATGTTTGAAGGCCCTTGGAAAGACGAACATATGCAGAGAAGTCGGATCAGCGATAAACGAGTAGAAGGAACGACAATGATAATGAAGAGTAGGAGGGACAATAAAGAGTAGAAGGAACGAGGGCGGTAAGGAAGCTTGCGAAGGGGAAGAAGATGACGAGGCCCTGCAACGGAGAAGGGTGGGAGGAAGGAGGAGGGACGAGGGGTGAGGGAGGAGGGAGGATCGGGAGGATAACGAACATAATCAAAAGGAGAAGGAACGAATCATAGAAAGAAATGCAGCGGGAAGGAACGACACCGATGCGGACGGAGAGTGGGCAGCATACGAGGGGGAGGGCTGACAAAGAAAGAAGTGGGAAGTAGCGAAGACAAGGCGAATGGAGAAGATGGGAAAGGAGAGGAGGAGGAGGAGGAGGAGGAGGAGGAGGAGGAGGAGGAAGAGGAGGAAAGGGAGGAGGCACAGGGAGAGGACGAGGATGAGGAGGAGGAGGGAGAGGGGCAGGAGGAGAGGGAGGGGAAGGAGGAGGAGGAGGAGGAGAAGGAGGAGGAGGAGGAGGAGGAGGAGGAGTAGAAGGAAAACAATAAAGAGAATAATGGAGGAAGAAGGAGGAGAAAGGATGAGGGGGGATGATGGGGAGGGAGATGAGGAGAAGGAGGAGGAGGAGGAGGAGGAGGAGGACGACGACGACGACGAGGACGATGACGACGACGACGAAGCCGATGAAAAAAAAATGAAATGTATAATCACAGGGGGGGGGCGAGCATGCATATATATATATATATCGGAGGTGAGGGGGTGAGATCGAAGTGGAACGGAGAGCCCCCCTACCAGGAAATCGATTTCGGTTTCGTGTTCGTGCGTGCCGTGCGTGCGGGCGAGGCGAAGCTGCGTGGGCGGGCAAGAGAAAGTCTCCTGTGGCTGAGGCGCGGCCGGACCAAATGATTCTCCACCGGGCGGCCAGTGGCGCGCGGTGTCCCGCCGGTGTCCCGCTGGTGTCCCGTCGGTTCTCTTGTGGCTGAGGCGCGGCCGGACCAGATGTTTCCCTTCCGGGCGGCCGGTGGCGCGCGGTGTCCCGCCGGTGTCCCGCTGGTGTCCCGTCGGTGTCCCGTCGGTGTCCCGATGATGATGTGGATGATTCTTATGATGATGATGACGATGATGATGATGACGATGATGATGATGATGATGATGATGATGATGATGATGATGATGATGATGATGATGATGATGATGGTGATGGTGATGGTGAGGGTGATGGTGATGGTGATGGTGATGGTAATGATGATGATGATGATGATGATGATGATGATGATGATGATGATGATGGTGATGATGATGGTGATGATGGTGATGATGATGCGCGAGCTCGAAAGAGGACGGGAAACAATTACGATGTTGCCCATTGCTGGGTCCCTCCCCCCAACCTAAACCGAACGAGAGTTCGACTGTGAGACCGAATGTGAGATCGATTGCGAGATCGATTGTGATATCGATAGTGAGATCGACTGTGAGATCGATAATGAGATCGATTGTGAGATCGATAGTGAGACCGAATGTGAAACCGAATGTGAGATCGACAGTGAGATCGATTGTGAGATCGATAGTGAGATCAGTGAGACCGAATGTGAGACCGAATGTGAGACCGAATGTGAGATCGATTGTGAGATCGATTGTGAGATCGATAGTGAGATCGATAGCGAGATCAATAGTGATATCGATAATGAGATCGAATGTGAGATCGATAGCGA